TCTGCTGTGGTTCGAGGTCAAGACTATCTGGGCTCATATGTATGATGCTGTTTGATTGCTGAAGTTCGCTAATGCTCATCTTCCTTGCACTTTTGTGGTGACCGTTCTTCATTCATTCTGGCCATTGACATGCCATTTGTCGGGGGTGTATGGTGGACATGCTCAATGCCAGCCGCCGTGGCAATTGCTATACTGAGAATGCTCAGCTAGGTCTTCCATGTGTTCATCCACCTCATCCTTACAATATGTCCTCTCTGTCGTCAAGGACAGACTGATTCTTGAGCCTTTCTTATCCTCTCCTTTGCCTTCATCTTTATTTTACACAGTGTACTTTCCTTTACTTCCCCTTTGTCGTTCTTTGTTTTGTCTTCTTTCCATTTCTCTTCTCTAATCCCCTCCCCCTTGACTCTGCCTCTATGTCACAGCATACGAGTGGGCCATCTTGGCACACGGGGATGCGGGCAGCTCAAGCTCAACTTCATCAACGTGGTGAGCCTTGTGGCACGGTGAAGGGGGAGTTAAAAGAAGAATGAGAAAAATGAATGGTTCAGTGTGCTCTACATGTCTGTCTTGTGTATTTCTATTTTTACCGTTTGTTTCGCGAAGTGTGCTCTTTTAGTTCATAGATATGTGACAATATTTATACATACATAGAGAGTGAGAACATCAGATAGACAGAACCCCTTCACCCACATATAGATCACAACAAAAAGCGGCAGAAGTTACCCCACATCTGTGTGGTTGAGTCTGCGCGTGAGTGTGAGTTTTTTTTTCAGAGAAAGAGAGCACTTTGAGAAAGTAGGAGAAATTGATGCGTCACTGGAGGGTTTTGGAGCCCTATCGGCCCCAAACAGCGACACTAATGTTGTGCGTCGATTGATTATGGTTGTCCTTCTCATTTGCACCCACCTGCTCTACCTTGGTTTTCCCTCAGTGTCAATGGTTGATTGCCTGTTGCCGCTGTTGGTACAAGGAGTTATTTCAACGGCTTAATTTTGGATTCACTAGGATGATGGCTCACCACTGAGTTCCACGGACCAGTTTCTGTGCTTGAATTTTGTTTTCACTACTCTTTTCTGCAGTGTGTTGATAGCCAGGGACAAACGAGGCCTGCCAAATTCTGCAGGGGATCCCGAAAACCGATTGAAAAGAGTCCGTGTGTTGGCCGAGTTCAGACAACACTGCAGTGTGACCTATGCAGCATTAGAAGAAATTGTTCAGGCAATGGTTTTTGTAAGGTGAGATGAATTCTGAAAATGGTTTGTGACTGTCTTTTTGAGAGAAAAACAAAATGAAAGAAAAGATCCTCTCAGTCCTTGCTCCATTCTATTCTGGGGAGTGTCTGTCAAGTTCCTATTCCATTCGCAAGTCAAAAAAATTAACTAATTAGTAATTACTAATTAGTAATTACCCACTCGAACACTTTCGGGCATAGCTCAGTTGCTACAATCCTGCCAAGAGGATGAACACTAGTACTGATGCAAATGTCAGACTTTAAGATATGCAGCGGGACGCTGGACCCGGTTTCAAGAAGGTGACACTCCCCACCAATAGACGGGAGCCAATGGCAAAATGTTACTGTCCTCTGACAATAGACCAGGCCATTGATTGCAAAAAAAAAAGAAAAGAAAAAAAAAACTTAAAAAAGACAGGGTCATTCCTCTCAGTCCACTCTTGTGGATGTCTACTTCAAAACCAGATTACCTAGAATTGCCCTGATGCGGACTAGGACAATGCAGCCCAGCTCTGAGCATTACTGTGACGCACTGGTGGGTGCACGTGCACCAGGCAGAGAAGGAACAAGTGAGCCCAAAGCGACCCAGACGCCCCCTCCTAGACCAAGGCCATCAGCATGTACCCGGCCTGCCAGTCCAGGGACCGGACCAGACCGGGAAACCTGCCGGCTGGACCCGCTGGGGTACCACTACATGACCTTCGGACCTGGAAATGGCATGGCCGATACATCAGAACAAGTTGTCCGAAAAAGCCGGAACTTAAAGGGATGGCTGAATGAATGCATAACAACCATCCCGCATGCGGAGCGAGCTCCATGCTGAAAGCGTGTTGCAAGCTAGAGCTAACCTATCAACAAGACCAATGTCTAACATGTGTCAGCCAAGAAAGCAGGAAAATATCTGACCTGGGTCGGCCAAGAAAACAGAAAAATGCCTGAACTAGGTAGACCTAGGAAACACAAAAATGTCTGACCTGGGTCTATCAAGAAAACAGAAAATTGTCTCAATTGGTCCAACTGGTTGAAAGAAGAGCTGCAGGAACGGGCCTTAAAGGCCAAAGAATGATGGAACTGATATCCGAAGTCTACAAAAGAATGAGGCACCAACTCATGTGCCCGGTACTACCTCAAGCAAGGCAACATGTACCTGAGTTGCACAACTAAAATAGTGATTCTCTCAGGAGCGGCAGATGCAGTACTCAGAAGATAAGCTCCAAGGGGGCATTCGCACAATAACAGAATACTCATCAGGCTCAGGGGTAGAGAGGAATGGAGCAATACCGGCGCTCAAGGTATCGACCATAAACAAGGGAAGCACCCAAGAACAAGGGGAGCACATAACATAAGGAGGAGCCTAGGGAGGAAGGGCTGTGCTGACGTAGAGTCGAGGAGCCCAGGAAGGAAGGGCTGTGTTGGCATAGACTCATGGCCAACAGATGTGAGTAAGGAAAACACACTCCAAAGGAGGACTCGCAGCAGTAGGGTGGAACTGCAGACATGAGGTGCCAGAATGGAGCTACGACCCGTATGCCTACACGCCAAGCTGGGAGAGCTAACATCGGGAGAATACACAGAGCAATGCAAAGGAAGAAATCAACGTACAATACAAGGGAGAGACTCAAGGGAAGATGATATATGTGAGAGAACTCAATGAAGAAGAAACGAAGCAGTCAAATCCGATGAAATAGCTCCAACGATGAAGCTGAAGGACGCAATGGAACATCTGAAGCACTCAATGTTGTCGGGCTGAAGTCGTAGAGGTTGAATGTAGCAAATACAGTCTGATGCTGAAGTCATAGCAATGATGTCGAAGTAGATCTGGAAGCTCCTGCAACGTGATGTCCAAAAGGAGAATAAAACAGAAAAAGAAGGAGATGAATGTCGGTCACGATAACAATAGGGTAGTCGACAATGACACTCACATCAAGTAAGGTGATCTGACGAAACAGGAGGAACCACATAAAAGGGCCTTTACCCGATGCAGGCCTCAGGCCTTGTAAAAGTAAAGCAGCGTGAAAGGGTATCTCGCCAGGGCTCAGAAACGTGAAAGCAGGT